ACAAAAGTAATGAAAATTTCGAGACAACCAACCCCAGTCACAATAAAGATAGACCAAAAACAACTGGAGAATGTGAAATGTTTTAAATATTTGGGTAGCTTGTTAACAGATGATGGAAGGTGTACTAGTGAAATTAAATCCAGGATTGCCATGGCAAAAGCTGCATTTAGCAAGAAGAAGAATCTTTTTACCAGCAAATTGGACTTAAATTTGAGGAAGAAACTAGTGAAATGCTACATTTGGAGCATAGCTCTGTATGGGGCTGAAACATGGACACTTAGGGCAGTAGATCAGAAACATCTGGAAAGTTTCGAAATGTGGTGTTGGATGGTGGTGGTGGATGACCACAATGCTGCACTCATGGCAATTTGCCAGGCGATGTTGACACGTGATGAAGGCATGAATGGGACTTTCTTTTCATCAACTGTGACAATGAATGAGACATGGATGCCGTTTTTCAATCCCTCTTGCATCAGCAATTTTCCAGTGGTCAAAACAGACTCCTACAGAAGCGTTCGCAGCGGCCATGGAATCATGGCGTCGACGTTATGAAAAATGCGTACGGCTGCAGGGAGATTACATTGAAAAGTGACAGAAGTTTCAAATTTTTTGTATGATTATTGTGTGAGAAAAAAAATCGGAGACCTTAGATCCTGAATGGCTTGAATGAACTTAGAATGGCTCCAGGAGGCACTGTCTTTATATGAGGAGGAGGAGGAATAAGAGGAGAAAGATGCACAAAAATGAGAAGGAGAGGGAGAGGAAGCAGGCACCTAGCCAGGTGGATAGCAAACAGTTGGATAACACTTAATCATATAAGGGCCGTGCTATGCTCCACATACAGTATTTATCAATTACGCATGCAGCACTTCACTAACTTTCACTAAATTTGCCTATCCTTATAACAGTAAAGGCAACAGTTTCTTGCATGCATCACAGCTGACACCATGAAGCACTGGTCTGGCAACAGTACCACTGACACTGGCTACTGAGAACACTTCCATGTCACCAGCATGTACTGCAGCACCCATGTCCTTCTGTACTTGATGAGTAACATTGAATCTCTGAGGAACACCATCAGGCATTTCCTTGCCATGACTTGTGGACAGATTTGGTGCCCTGAGCAATGACTGTAGGTTATCCAGAAGAGTAGTATCATCATCCACACAATTAGTTTCACCCAGACAGACCTCTAATAGCAAGTGCACTGATGATGGTAATCTTCAGGGCACCTACACACTGTCCCATAGCTGGGTTATTGTTCCAACCAGAGTACGAATGAATGGCTCCAAATGTGTTCACAAGGGGATGATCAAAGAGCTGTTGCCAGGTATTCACCACAACACCCTCCTGAAAGAACATTAAAAAGGAAATTAGTGGGCTTCCTTACATGATGGACTACCACACTTCTTCAGATTTGAAAATAACATGTTACTTTACACAAGAGACTGCCATTATAAAATTTTGTACATCTGATTAAATTATTTCCTGTAGTGAAATCCTTTTCCAGGAAATGTCTGCTGCATGAATGCTTCTTGTGCAGCAGTCTATAAGAATCAATAGTGCAGGATATTGCAGCTTTTCCTGCCCATCCTACAGCCTTCTAAAAATAGAACATATTGTCTCGAAACCTCAAAATAGTTCATTAGTAAACATTACAAACATGGTGCTTGTGCTAAATTTTGTTGTTGAATAAACTGAACACAGACAGAAGCTAAACTTAATTTCTTTGTTGAATTATGCAACATGTAATAAAGCAGTACACCACAAATTAAAAGATACATACCGCGCTGCATCCTTGTGAGAGTCGAAGAATTTTACTTCTTTCTGTCTACTGAATGACAAGTACCCAGAAGCACTGCAAGTTTTTGTTCTCTTTACTGCAAGAAGCAATACAAAAATGGTAACACCATCACAGTGCACTTAGAACTCCTTGAAATTCTACAGACAGTCTTTGGGCTAAACGGAAAATTGCAGAACATATCATAAAAGAAATGTGGTTTAGTTGACAGTTCATCATAACCTCCCTAGCTAAGGAACAAATCTGATAATGTTGGGCCTATCTCACATCATGGGAGGGAGAACAGAAGAACTTGGAGACAAATCTGCCCCAGTACCACAGTGAACAGGGATGGAATTTGGGACGCTGAAGTGACTAGCCAGCATCGAACCACCTGAGATATGGACAGGCAGAATTCTAAGAATCACAATGAGAGTAAATTCAGTTACTATGTATTCAGGGGCTGACAGTTTGTATGTTCTCTGAGCTGTGTAACCTGTTTTCAACATGGTTCTGTAACCTGCATAAAGACTTAAAAATTTTTAGAAATATCTGCCTACATTTGAAGTCGCTCTTGTAATACTATCGTTTGCAGTTTCAGAATTACTCATATAATGGCAATAATCTCAACATTAAAATGTCTAGATCCCGAAAGGCCTGCGAGCTCTTGTAAATACAGATTATGCAATATGTAATAATTTCTTCAGTACCTTAGCGAGTACTGTTATGTAACGCCTCACAGCGTTGCGGTTGCGTAACAGCTCCGTTACCTGCAATGGTTGCCTGTTGACTAACACGAGCCGGTGTCTGTTACGTCACTGCGTTGCTGTGCTATATAAAGCGTTCGTATGTGCCACATAAGTTCAGTTTCTAGCTGTGTGCGAAGGAAGCAAGACGAGTTCTGGAAGGAATGGATCGAAGAATGGACGAATTTAGCAGTGAGCTGTACAGTGGGAGTGAAAGCATCAAATACAGCAACCGAGTAATCCTCAGCCGTCGTCAGAAGAAGAAGCTCGCTCGTCAACGTAGAGAAAATCAAGATCAAGATGGCATTCCAGCAAACAACATGAGCAAGAGCGGAGCCAAGGGTTTACGGTCAGTCGATTCTGGACACGGGAAAATAAATGGACAAATTATCACCAGTGCCCCCGCACTACGCCTGCATTCCGAGATGAACATAACGAACAGAATCCTTACAATATTTCTGAGTCATTATATCATAAGTTCCGATCAGCTTCTACGTCTAGGCTACCCCGTCGAGAGTCGCGTACATCCTGGAAAAGCAGTTATCTACAATGACCCTACTGTTTACAAACTCTTCCAACGGGGCAAAACTTCCTCACGATTAAACGTCAATGCTACTGAATTCGTTCCTTTATGGGCAACTGAAAATTGCCAACAGGAATCCCATGGTATCATAACAAGAAGAAGCACATCAAATATCATGGAAAACGAACATCGGCTATTAGAGAAGGCCGTAAATGAAACTGAAGGCAATCAGAACAGTGATAAGTTTAGTGGTAACCGTGGTGTCGCTGCATTTCTCTGTGATAAGAAACTCAGCTACGAACGCTACGATGGAGGGCGGCGTGAAGGTAATAGCAGACCTAGAAGAGGCTGGACTGTGAAATTTCAAGGCGTGACGAAAAAGGACAGTAAATCATCAAACGGTACCCTGAAGAGCGAGGGCGAAGATCAGCAGTTGAGTGATACTAGGGAGAAGAAGTGTGCCCGCTGTGGTCGTGGTTTCTATTTAACAGTGGAGGGGAAATACGCGACTCAAGAAAAGTGTATTCATCACTGGGGCAAGATAGAGAAGGCAGTGGCACCCCAGCTGCCCCAGCCCCGCAAGGTCGGTGTTGTCGGTCCTGTGAGAACAATAAGACGTTACAGTTGCTGTGGAGGTAATCCAAGTTCAGGTGGGTGTAGTGTGGGTGAACTACATGTGTGGAATGGCGTCGGCCCTGGAGTGAATGACCCACTTGATGGTTATGTTCAAACTCGTGTTTGTAAGACTTTTCCCCCTGATGGGAATTTTGGTATTTATGCAGTAGACTGTGAGATGTGTTACACAGCACGTGGCACTGAACTAATTAGAGTGACTGTGGTGGCGTCCGATGGTCATCTCGTGTACGACAGGTTGGTGAAGCCAGAGAGCGACATTATAGATTATAACACGAGGTTTTCAGGAATCACGGCACGTGATCTCAATGAGAATGACACAAAATCATTACGGGATGTCCAGAACGATTTAATGGGCTTCATAAATGCCGACACTATACTTGTGGGTCATGGATTAGAGAATGACCTTCGTGCCCTGCGCATTATCCACGGCAGTGTGGTTGACACATCTGTAATATTTCCTCACTCTAATGGTCTTCCATATCGTCGGTCCCTGAAGTCACTCGTAAGCGAGTTCTTGGAGAGAGATATCCAGCAGGATTCATCTGGACATTGCAGTTTTGAAGATGCAAGGGCCTGCATGGAACTGATGTTGTGGAGGATCAGAACAGATTTTAACTACATTTTTCAAAGTGGTGTACAAAATCTTTTGCAGTTGCAGAATAAATCTGAATGTATATGCTGTTAACTGAATTTGCCTTTTAATTATGCTGTTGTATCTTAAGAGTCCTGTTGTTATAAGTTTATTCAAGAAATTATGAATTTTGTCTGTTGTGAACTTTAATTTCAAAATTTTCACTGACATTTTCTATCATATCCGCATTTCATATAGGTGTGATGCAGAAATACACATTGCTCTAAAGTACAAACTCCCATGTATGAATATAATATCATGTAGAGGTCTACAAGTTATCTTCCCTCATTAACAAATAAAAGGGATGTAACAAGGCTGCCTCATTATGCCACTTTGGAATTCAGTACGAGAAGATGACAATAAAGATGAGGCAAAAAACTTACAGTAGTTATGGTAGAAGACGACTATCCTGCAGCAATGAATATTCAATTCAATTCTTCATTATTTATATTGATATTTTTATAATGTTTTGTCGTAGCCTAACTGATAATTTTTTGAATTAGGGGATCCCACTGATACATTTAGATGTTTTATCATGACGAAATTGATGATGATGATGTAAGTTTAGTTAGCTGATTGGCAAGTGATATATTTCTACATTTGGTGAACTCACAGTTCCTATGGGTTAGGTTGGTGTTTATAGATACTCAGCTAATGAGGTACTCAGTGGCTTTGTCACTTTTCAGCAGTGAAAGTTCTTGGAACTTAATTGATGCATATTGGAATGAATACATGTTTACATGTCTCGTAACTTAGTTTAAAGCAAAATGAAAAGCTACTGGTTTCACTTCTCATATATACATTACTCTTACTTGATACAATTCACTGATGATAGTGATTATAGCCACAACACAACTCTACCCGTGTGATGTGCATAAATATAATAATATATAATAATGGACTGCTTCTATATCTGTGGTGACTGTCTTCTCTGTACGGATTGATTGAGGTAATCATCATTATTACAGTATATAAAAATATGGGCTAAGCTGCCAAAACTCAATACAAAATAGGCAAAAATAAATCAAACCAAAGTAAATCTACCCTAGTCTAAGTGTCTTGAAGTCTTCTTGCACGTGCATTGGGCCATCAGATTGTCACTGAGATTGTCAGCCAAGTCTGCAACCTCCATAAGGTAGGGAGGTCTGTTGTCTTTTGCAGGTTCCTGGGCATACTTCTCAGTTCAGAAGTGAGGCTACCAGTGCCATTGCTAAGAAAGACATTTTGCATGGAGACCAGGTATCAGCTCAAGTTATGGGCAGTGGTGTCCATGCCTATCTGTGTACTGTTGAGCCTTCTAGGCAAGACAAGGGGACCGACTCAAAGCAGCGGATTGTGAGCAGTGAGAGTGTGTTCAGGCGTGGCAACCCTCAGCAGCATCAGAAGAGAGAAAGATATGGTCACATCTTCAGATTTGTCACACTCGCTTAAAAGGCAGAAATTTGTTGTGTGGTGATCCACCACCCATTTGTCTGCAGTGTTGTTCACTCTGTACTGTTTCTGATATATAATGAGTGTGATACATTTCACTACATCCTTGACAATGAACATGGTGGATTGTATGACAGTCTGGCATTCATAAACAGTATGGGTGTTGCAAAGTATGAGGGCTGATTGGAAGGTAGCGTCTGGTGAGCTGTTGGCAAAGCAAGCAGTTTGAAAGAATGTTATTTAATACAAAGAAATATGTACATATTTAAGCTGCTCCCTCTACATCGTTGCCCCCAGAATTGGAGCCCTTGTGGTAATAGGGATTGGCTTTTTCTTTTGGCTGTGTTGGGGAGGTCTGCTGCCTGTGAGCTCAGCCACATGTTGACATGTTCCATCAGCTCCTCATTATGGCTGAAGCACTGTGATCTTACCTAGTTCTTCAGATGAACAGGTGGTAGGTGCTTTGATTGAGATTAGGGCTGTAAGGAGGGTGGTAAAACAGTTCCCATTCAAAATGCTCCAGAACTGCTAGAGTGTGAGCAGTGTGTGTGCATGCGTGTCTGTTATCATGGAGAAGCACTACAGCAGATGTCATTCAATGTCCTTTGTTCTGAAAGGCCCTGTGGAGTTTTTTTTTAGTGTTTCATGACATGAAATGTGTCTGAGCTCACAGGCACGAGAAATCTTGTTTCCTTATATGGAAGGTGCCTCAGTTCCGGTGGTGACAATGTTGAGAGGTAGCTTTGGTGTGTACATATTTTTTTGTCTGTAATCATTTTTTTCTCATTGCTTGTTTTGTTGGCAGCTTACATTAGGTTATTTTCTGAATAGCCCTTGCATTTATAGGGGTACATGGTAGCGTACTTGGTTGAGGCATTATGCTACAAGCCAGAAAGTTTTGGGGTCGAGTCTCAATGTGGTGGACTTTGTCAGTTGACCTAATCGTTCTATCTGCACTATGGGCCTGTCTCTGACTCAGCCTCTAACAGAATGTGTACCTGGAATATTCCTGGGGGATAAAGGGTGGCCGGCACGTAAGGCTGACAGTCTTACTGCCATCTATTAGCTAATTGTCTAGATAATGTGGGACCCTCAATGTCTCACAACCCTGTGGGCCTCTATGGCCATTCACAGGGGTGGCTTTATTTTTACCTTACCTTTACCATTTGAAAGGTTTTCGGCTGTCAAGAATGCTGAGTCAGTGGCAAAACTCGCACGCATCCCGCAGCACATCAGTTGCTGCAAAGGGCAGAGCCATGAACTTGCCAATCTGCTTGAATTTCTTCTGTATTTTGTCCTCTCATTTACTTATCAGTTTATAATAATGTGGTCTCTGATTTTTTTATTACTTTTTCCTGAATATTGCAGTATTTCTTATAGTATAATGATTTCAGCCTATCGTCACCTGATTCTGTAAGTGTACTATTCGCAGTCGGTATAGTGACTGCCTATGTGTTACGTGACTGAAGGTTCAGAGTTCAAGTCCTGACAGTCAAGAATTTTCTCTTGTCCACTTCATCCAGACAGACTGGGGCCTGCCCAGCCTCCTATCCATTGGGTACCAGGGTCTCCTTACCTGGTGGAAGAGCGGCCAGGGCATGAAGCTGACCTCTATCGAATGCCGAGGTGGAGAACATGTGGATCTATACACCCAGTCCCCTATATGCCTTCATGGTGTTGTGCTTAATTAGGTATGGACAGAGATAACTTCACATTTTACCTTTGCTATATGAAGTTTGTTTATTTCTACATAATATTCTTATACCCTTAGTTATCCATTTATTAGTTACATTTTTCCATCTTTTTATATATATTATATACTAATGGAAATCTGTTTTCAAGATTTAATAAGGAAATATTAAGAAATACATTAAATTTGCTATTAACATTTTCTTGGTTGTCAACTTCTTTCCAGTTTTCATTTTGTAGTGGAGACTGAAAAATTGTAATTTTGTCTCCACATGAATCTCCCTAAATTCATATTTAATCTTCTTATGCATCATAGTTTGCAAATTTTCAGGTATTAATATTTGTCCATCATGATCTGAAAGACCATTTATAGCAGGATAAACTTGGAAATTGATATGAATACTCTGTCTGTGAAAAAGTTATCACTGAGATAGAGGTTGAACTTGTTCTTTTTGTAAAGACAATTATTTGTACTATATTATATGTTATATAATAAATTGGATCAGATTCCTGTCTGGAGCCATATAGAAACATAAATTATACAGTTTCATCTTATTTATAGATCTCTTTAGAGCACATGCTTCAATTTTTTTTCTCTATGCTTAAATCGGATAGGCTCAGCCCTTGATATAATATATAGTCTTTTTCTAAAATACAAACTCCATGATTCCTAAATATGCTATGTAACAATCCAGTAGCTGATTATGTTTATTTTCTTTCTGTAAATCCTTAGATACAGGTCAAGTCATAAGTTCCATTCATTAATACCGACAATTTTAGCTTAAAAATTGATATACATTTTACACCATTCTCTGTGTACAGTGAAGTACTCATCTATTGAGTAAAAGGAACTAGCATGTAGATTATTCTTTAGCGCTAATTTAAACTGTTTAGTATCATTACTCCAGTTTTGTCACTATGTGGTAGATTATTGAACACTTTTACGCTAGTGGACTCCTTTCTGATACAGTGATAAGTCTGATGAAGGTAGGTGAAAGTTATATGTTTGTCTGGTATTCTTGTTATAAAAGTTAAACCTATCCCCGTAACAGTCTGTGAAGGCCCACAGGGTTGTGAGATATCGAGGCTCCCACATCTTCTAGGCAATCGGCTCACAGATGGCTGTGATGTTTTCTGCCTAATCGGATGGGCATTGCCTAGGTCTTTTTTGTATTTACAATAATTTTTTCTATAAAAATGCACTGGCTGGCTGCCCTTTACCCCCAGGATGATTGCTGGTACTTATTTCTGTTAGAGGCGGAATTTACCACAGGAAAATAGTGCAGTTGGAAAGATAGGTGAAATGAAAAAATCCAATGGCTTCAACGGAAATCGAACCCGTGACCTTCCAGCTTGTAGCATAGTGCCTCAAACTAACTATGCTGGAACTGAAGGCAATGAGAACAGTGATGTGTATAGTGGCAATCGTGGTAACGCTGTATTTCTATGTAATTTAAAAATCAGGCGTGTTAGAGGCGATGTAAAGGTGATTGCAGTGACTCGAGTTTGAAATTGCAAAACATTACAAACGTGAGGGAGACGAAATCATTGAACGGTACCCTGAAGTGCGAGGGCCAAGATCAGCAGTTGAGTGATACTGATGAGAAGTGCGCCCGCTGTAGTTGTGGTTTATCTTGTAACACTGAACGTGATATACATGACTCGAGAACAATGTATTTATCGCTGGGGTAAGTTAGTGAAGGCCGGTGAAGGCAGTGGCACCACAGCCCAACGAGGTCGATGCTATTTAAACTAGCAGACGGTACTGTTCGGGGAGAATTACTGTCCATATAGGTTGGCCCTACATGCCAGAATGCGCACTGTGTGCACTTAAAAATTTTTGTTTTAAAATAAGTGACTTGGCGACATTTGTTACGAATAATTGAATTGACGTGCAAATAGTTACTATTTCGGGACGGGATTGTCACTACTCATGTTATCTCTTGCCAGATTATGTGACACCACCGTCTCCTTCAAATTATTTATTTGTGTCCCGTAATAGAAACGTAATCCATTAAATTCCAGTGTGTACCTGTAATAATAAAGGCACTGAGTAAGAAAAGACTATATTTCGAACAAGCCTTTTTTTATCTTTGAACTAAGATAATTTTAGGATAGGCAAATTCAACAAGGTTTTGAATTGTTTCATTTTTGGTCCGTTACAATATCAATCACAGAGTTAGTAGAGAGTCCGTCGAGTGTAACAATTTGTAGGTCTTTTTTTAATATCACTTCTGCCTTACATGTTTCGGTTTGATACAACCATCATCAGAGGCACTTGCTATAATTATGGAAACACTGTCGTTGTTTATGATGTTCACAGTTATGTTTGTCGTGTAGACGCTGCTACAATATGCTGACGTGTAAAAGCACAAAACTTACTAAGATATGTAAGATTTGAGGCTTTCACGGCGGTGACTATGAAGAAAGCAGTCTTCTGGGATTTGGCACCGTGTATATGTGGTGTTAACCGACGTTTCGGTTTACCGTTTCTCATGGTGTTTTCGCTTGCAGATTTCTTATACTTTTTCTTCTACCCTGAAGATGGGGGCGATACGTTCCTCCGAAACGTCGGTTAACACCACATATACACGGTGCCAAATCCCAGAAGACTGCTTTCTTCTTACTAAGATAGTTGAGTACACTATCAAGTTCTCGCTTTTCATCCGAAACTGTTTTTAAGTTAAAACGCTAAATGTTAAAATATTTAATCTAAAATGCTGAATTCCTCCTTGTTAGTTCATCCCGAAGATGGGAGACGTCAGCTTGAAGTTCTTTGGCTTATGGTTCGATGTTTCTTATGTGCTGTGTGTAGGTTTTTTCTTTCAACAGCATTATCCGTGGAGTCCGTGGATCACTGATTTGTACTTGCCGTATGATGGCGCTGAGTTATTTTATGTAGGTTATGGGAAGGTGCGGAGTAATACGTTGTGATATAATTAAGACAATTTTAATTGTGTGGAAAGATGATTGAAAATGACGTAAGGCACAATTTAAAAATCACACAGTGTTTATCACGGAAGCGTTTTTTTAAAAACCTTGTATTCCGGTATGCTATGTTAACGTGATTACCTAACCCGATTTTCTTTGCTGTTTCAGGCAACGTGAATTATAAGACAAAACCGTCTGAATGGCATTCTGTAGTGAAGCAGTGTGTAACATAATAAGAAAGTTGAACTCATAATATCAGTAATGGTTTTTCGTACAGTGGCTCCACGAATGAGGTTTATTATCATAATATTGTGTTTTGTTATATTTATTTTTTACTTCGAAATGCGTATTATGAAAATTGAAGACGGCAAACGTAAGCTTGGTAATTAAGTCCAAAATCTGTTACGATTAAAATATTGCCTGTCTTCTTTACAGAGAATTTAAGAAATGTAAAAGAGATTTGAGTTTTTTAACATTCCTGGTTGAAAAGGTCTGCATGTGTAAAATAGAAATAATGAATGCTATCGTTTAAATTTCCATGAGGTTTTTATGAACTGTTGTAGCTATAATTATGAGAAATGTGTTGTCCCAGGGTGAACTCAGTGTCAAGTTGCAATCTGGATGGTAAAGGTAGAGGTAAAGTCACCTGTGCTTAATTAAGCACTATGCCATGAGAACATATGGATGCGTGGAGGTATGGCTCTGCCATGCTTGACTCTGGCACAAGATATAGCCGAGTGGTCAGCTTCACACCCAAGCTGCTTTATTCCTCAGGGAAATTGACCCTGATACACACTGGATAGAAAGCTAGGTGGCTCCCATAGCTGGTCTGGATGTTTTGGAGAAGAGAACAACCTTGATTCTGCTGGGATTCAAACCCTGGGTGTTCAGCAGTCTAGATTTTTACAGTTATGTATTTAAGATTATTTAACAGCATTTGCTGTTGTGACCCATTAGGCTGGTGGGCAGGCAGATAGATGATAGTTACATAGACAGATAGGAAACTTGAAGCTTGCAACAGTGAGTTGATAGTTTACAACATGGAAACAAAGGCAATACTTTGGTGCTCTTCTCCACATTTGGCACCAACTGTATGTAAACTAAACTATGTTACTAATTACTATAAAAGGAAGACAGAGACTTACCATAATTTATCAGATCTGGAATTAATTCCCTTCAAGCATGCCTCACAGCATATAAGCAAGTTTTATGACACCTGAAGCACTCAAGGGATTCAGTGTATTGCTTACATAACCAACCTGAATTCACAGATTGCCGGAAAAATATCTGGTTGAACACTTATAGCACACCACACCAATACATTTATTCTGTGCTATGTTACTTAGTTGAATTGTATGAGGAATTTCTTTTCTTAATGTTCATTTATTTTTACAACTAAAGTGAGGCCCTATTGTTTGTAAATGACAGCTGTGGGCCAGTGACTGTCTTGGACATTTTTAGGAGCCAGTTGCAATGTGGAGTCTTGCTGCATAATCTGGTTACTTAAACTCATGCACAAATTTTCTTTAAGAGGTAAAATTTAATTAGTCTTATGGCTGTGAATGGTAACAACAGCAACACACCAGTTTCTGGTGGAAAGTTTCTTAACAGTTTGTAAGAACTATTTTATAACTGTCCCCGAATGTCTTAAACTTCCTCAGTTAGCACATCCCTCTTGGATTATTTCTTTTTGCCACAAAGTAAAGGCGTGACCCACTTCCCTTTTGCATGCTTCTGTATGCACAGCTGTGTGGAAAGGAATTCTTGTAGGTATTTATGAGTGAGCATCTGAATACACTTTCTGTAAGCTTTCTTTCTTATGTAAAGTTAAGTGAAAGTAAAATGATTAATTAATCCTTGAAGATGTATGGGCAAGTGGAAAGCAAGAAATGAGAAATTCCTTGTAATTATTCTGTAGTAATTCCATGTGCAATTAACAAACTGTTATAATGAATTACATGTATTTACTAATTCATTAACAGAGTAGAAAATGTGTGACAAAAGAAATTAGTTCATTGGTGATTGAAATTATCTTCTGTTATTATATGGACTTAATAATTTCTTATTGTAAGCTTGATTTGAAATTTAATTCTTGCATAATATACAACTTTTTGGTACACTAAGATAGCGGTTGGTCTGTGAGATAAAGTCTCTGTCTAGTGTTGATATTGAGAAGCTCTTACTGAAAAAGTACAAATTTATCAACTGTAATGGCCATTAAAGCAAATATACAGAGTGTAAATAAATACATGTTACAATGCTCTGTGGTAGATAGATGGGTTCAATCTGATCATCTTTTATTAATGCATGTCTGGAAATGCTCCAGTCTAGAAAACCAAGATTAAAGGCCGTGGGGATCCGTTGCACTGACCATGATACACCCTCTGCATGCAAAAATTGGCACTAACTTTGCTGACAAGCTGTTGCTCGGTCAATATAGTTCGCTTGCAGGCTAAAACCACAGAGTTCATTTTTGTTTTTGTCCCGAAACGCTTTCTTTATGCATTAAGCCTCTGAAATGTGAAGGACACCGCCCTTGCCTCACACCTCTGCGACTTGCTGGTGACATTTAGCTAACATTTCTCCAAGAGGCCTTACCCGAGCTGCTGGAAATGGTGCCTTTGGAAGTGGATCGTGAAATGTGGTTCCAGCACGATGGCGCCCTGGCACACAGCACTAATGTCCGTGAGTGTTCGGATGAATATTTTGGCAACGGATGGTTTGGACATGGAGGCCCAGTAACCTGGTCCCCTCACTCCTCTGACTTGATTCCATTGGATTTATTTCTCTGGGGGTACATGCAAATCCTCATGTACGAGACTCCAGTGGAGACACAACATGATCTTGTGGCAAGAATTGCAGTAGCAGCTGGAACCATCTGGGAAATGCTGGGAATCTTTCAGAAAGTTTGGAATAACATAGCCAGGCAGTGCAGAACATGCAGTGAAGTTGGTGGCCACCATTTTGAGCAACTTTTTTTAGTGTAAAACAATGATAACATCCCCTAAAACTTGTGCATCCTCTTGGAGAATTTTGTGACCCTTAGTGCCAAATGAAGCGCTTCCGGACATTGGTGTAGTAACAAAATATCATCAGATTGAACCCTTCTGTCTACCACAGAGCGTTGTAACATGTATTTATTTACACCCTCTATATTTGGTGGTGTTAGTAGGATGCAGAAAATCTTGAATAAACCTTTACACATCTGAGTTCTCTGAGCAGTAGCCATAATTGTGATTGTTTTCTTCTGTGGAAGCAATTGTTTATTACTGTTGTGTTTTCCTAGAAAATTATACCAGATGACGACTAAGTGAAAGGATGCAAAGTACATTGTTTTAAAAAATTCTGTGCTAGCTAGACATAAAGAGGTCTCATTGCAAAGCATTGTGAACTTAATTTCAGTATTGTCTGGTATATAGAACTAGTACTAGCAGCTTCTTAAGAAAACCACAAAAAGCTCATTATAAAGCTGGGTATATATCGGCACATTCTGTGTGATCAAGAACTGCAAGTATAACTGAAAATTCATCACTGCCTGTAACTGAGTAGTTTACTCTGATCATTTTCTTAATAGGATTTGAGACATATGTTTCTAGATGCCACGCATTGCACTTTTGTTGAATTAACATCACAAATTTGAGAATTGAGGTTCCCATGATTGTGAGTATCTAGATTATGATCATCTGAGGTGTGATGTGTAGTTTAGTAGACAAGTACCAAACCTGTGGAGGAACCAGCTTCTACCGTCAGAGTAGAAAGAACCCCAAAAATGGAGGCATTAGTTTCCTCTGAGATGATGGTACCCATCTTCCAAAGTCAGTATGGTGTCCCTCTTACTGTTTTACACATTCTGCAGGATGCCCACATTATCACTGATGTGATGTTGAGTTGTGCAGTATCTCAGGAGATGACTGCCATAACTTAAGTAATGTGGCAGGTTATTTAATTGATTTTAATTTATTCTCTAGTGTTATACCTTTTACGTCCGTTGTTTTAAAACCTCTCTGGCCTATATTCAGCCTGTTAAAATTCTTAACACAGTGTCAATTGATCTTTTACTGTACATTTTTGGCCACTGGTAGTCTGACCAGTTCAGAGTTTTACACCTGTTACGTTTTCTAAATTTTATATTAGGTTTAATAGCCTGTTTTTTTTTATTGAAAGCCTTCACAACAGAACAATAATAATATGTGTATGTAGTTTCAAGTAGTACTTTACTGCATGTTTCGGCTTCCAAGAAGCCATTAGCAAGTAAATACACCTAAAAACTGTAGCTATGGAATTGTATGCTAATTACATGATGTAGTATTACATTTTCCAAGTAGTCTACAATAATATAAAATATGAAGTTACAATGAAAGTAAAGTCTTAAAATGAACTAGCTACATAATTAAAATACAGTTAAGAGCTGTACATATAATTATACAGTATTTCAAAGTAGGTAGTTGTAATCGTAAAAATGTATGGTTGTGTTTATGTTGACATCTTGTGTACACAGACGGTTGTTACGGTCCTCGGAGGTCTGCTGCTATATTGTACGTTATTATTTAATTTTGATTTCTATTTGACGGGTTCCTCCATTTATGTGTATATGTCTGATCTGGTGAGGTGGATTACAACTTAAGATTAAGACTTTACTTTCATTGTAACTTTATACCGTATTTACGCATGTATAGGCTGCACATTTTTTGCCAAAAATTCAAGAGGAGAACTGGGGTGCAGCTTATATTCGAAATATTCGAAATCACACTTCATTTAAAAAAATTATATTCATAATTAGTAATACAGGGTGTTCAAAGATCGAGGAAACCGGGGCAGCAGCGTAGAGCGGAAGAAACGTTTCTCTGCGACTACTGTGGCCCTCCCTGCTAGCGAGAGTGCAGTCGTGTCGCTGATACCCTTACATCAGTTTCTGTACATGCACACATTTATAAGAATACTGTAAAAAGATAACACAAACTTACCGTGCTTTATAACAGGTGCTGAAAGTGACGCCCTTCTACTCCTGAAATAATATTCGAAGAAAATTATTTTTTCTGTAATTTCTGTCTGAAAATTGTGCTGCGGCCTATACACACACGCGGCCTATACATGCGTAAATACGGTATTTTATATTATTGTACATTATTTGGAAAATTTAATACAACATTGTGTAATTAGCACGCAATTCAATAACTGAAAGTTTTTTAAGTATATTTACCTGAAGATGAAGAAGTACTTCTTGAAACTACATACATATGCTATTAATGTTGTGTTGTGATGGCTTTCAGTAAAGAAATATATAATACACAACAGGATGCATTCACTGAAAATTTATAACCTGTTATTTACTTTTAACATTATTTAGGTACATATATTCATCAATGCTAATATCCCTCAAAATCTGCAGGTATAACTTTCTGCAAAACTCTATCCGATATTGTGCTGTCAAGGTGTACTCCATACATTGATGAAATCATGGAGGGGCCTTCAGTGTGGATTCTGGATAGGGAGATAGGGACTAGCTCTATCGATTTGGCCCACCTGAGTAGGTTTTACTTGAAGACAGAGACAGAATCCAGTCTCTGAAATGACTTGTTTTGAAAAATAAACCGGACGGTTGTTACATAAAGACAACACGATGGATAATGTCCAAAAACATAACATTTGTACTCCGATTTTAGCAGCAACAGCTGTGAAGTAGTGCATGGACATAGGTGCTAGGCTTGTGTGTGTGAAGTTTTTATGCTTTTAATCTTTGCCTTAACTCTCACAAATGGTTTGTGCTGTGCTTGTTTTATGTATCCTATCTTGTGTTGGTGTTGGTGTCTGGAGATAGGGGCTGGCTCTATCAATTGGGCCCAACTGAGTAGAAATCACCTGAAGACAGAGACAGAATCCAATCTCTGAAATGTTGTGTGCTTTGAATAAAAACAGGATGATTGGTAATGTCCAGACACAGTGATTGTTCAACAAAATGGTGTGAAGACATTGCACCTACTTTGTCATACAGAGAGCATTATTTTCCTCAACATGTCGTGTATGCATCTTTATTTACAGAAATTCAGTAAATGACATTTCAGGGTTTTTGAGAAAAGATTTTTTTTTGGAGGGGCCATTTGAAGGACCCATATTTTTTGAGCTAGAATATTCAGTTTTACCAGGAACTGACCTCTTAAATACTGAATATTAATAAAATCCATCCAACTATTCACATACTAGCATACACATACATATTCATACAGACAGATAAATGGCATTCCAGAAACCATGTTCTCATATTGAGGGGGCTGAATATATGTAAATAATTCTCATTTCATGCATCCTGCTGTGTTACAATATATACAACTTATTTATTTGACCGTCACAACACAACAATAAAAGAACTTCAAGGACAATGCCCAGATATAGTTCTGCTACATGTTTCGGCCACTGGTGGCCATCATCAGGCAAACACACTTCAACAAACGTACATTACTGAACTGCAGTACGCAAAATTTGATGATTTATGACATTGTATCAAGTATCTATAGTACTATCGCTAATTCACACACTGTGCAATTCACCACAGCATGCATTAAGTCTTCTCAGTCTGCTGTGTCTTCACTAGTTGCCTGGTAATAGCTCCCAATGCAGTAGCTTCCTCAACTTTCATGTTCAGTGGCTTTTGTCCTCGATGGCTGGCACCTTTCAGCTGCAGCTATCGAGCTGAACTAACTGGCTTCCAACAGCCAAACTAACTCACAGCACACAATCGACTCCTTACATAGCTTTGGCAGGGACCGCACAGAAAACACCTCCCAACAATTCTTCTGATTTGCATCACATAGCTATTGGCATGGACCGCGTAGGGAACACTGCTTCCCAGTTACTCGACTGTTGTGTGTTACAAAGCCATTGCCTAGCAATGGGCATGTTTGCAGAGTCGTTTCCTAGCAATGGCTGGCTCTGCTGGTTTGACGGTTCTTGCCTTGAGCAAATATGCTGCAATATGTAAGCCTAATAACATTAGACGTAAAAGATAAACGAGCATCATGAAGGCTTCTCCATGGTGGTAATCTGGAAGCTAAAATACTGGATTTAGATACATTTATGTGGCTATATTGATGTGGATGCCACCAATTTTTTAGTCAGTGTACAAATTAAAAACTTTGATACTTAATGTGAAATACCAAAATTCTGGTAAAACTGTATAAAATAGGAAGTTGTGGTTACCTGAAATGCATAATTGGCAAAACTGCAGTTTGGCAAGGAATTGCTGCACTGGATAATAAATGGGAGTACAGCAGGACAACACACATATTACATTCACAGTTATGCTGTAGTATAGTGATGTCATTCTTCGAGAGAGTTAGCAATATTTGAAAATGTAATCTTAATTTGTTTTGTTCTGTTGCATATTTTTGCTGTGTAAAAAAATTAATGCTTTTCTGCGTATGACATATAGCAGCATTAGTTTAACAGTAGGGCTCGATTTTTTATTCACTTGGCTGTGATTGAATAAGGAAGTTTTATACATCAAATTTAGTTATATGGTGATAGCTGGGCATTCACAATTATTAATTTACACATGAAATGTATGACCTGCTGTTAGTTGATATGCTTAGTTACCATTTACAGCATTGCTACATTGTGAAGCACTTATCCACGGTGAAATAAATTGAGACGGGAAGTAATATGTTGTATTTGACTTGAGTGGTTATAGAATCTGAGTATACATAGAATAAAGGAATTGCTATATGTGTTTTTGTATTACTGTGCTTTGTTTAGAATTGGCAGTTGCACGAATACAGCTGCGTGAAGTAGATCAGCGAAGGGGTTCCAGCTATTTGCCAAACATAAATACCCGGGATCTTGTAGTGATCTACAATCGAGTACCAAAGACTGGGTCAACAAGTTTTGTGGGTGTTGCTTATGACTTGTGTAAACAAAATGGATTTCATGTGCTTCACATCAACATCACAGGAAACATGCATGCCTTGTCTCTTAAAAACCAGGTATGACTGGCAACTCATTTCTGTAGGCTTTTGCATCCTATATATAATGTGTAATTTTGGCTTTCAGGGTTTAGCCACGTTATATGTTGAAGCTGTACCAATGTGTCAGTGAATATTGCAGTCACACACTCTCACAGTTTGAGTAAGGTTGAGGTTGTGGAGTGTGGTACTGTCCAGTGGATAGGGGCCATTACTGATTGTACCAATTTACAAGATGGGTGATCAAATTGATTGTAGTAATTATTGTGGACCATCAGTGCTGTGAGCTTCAAGCAGAATTTTATCCATTATCCATCTCTCAAGGTTAAGTCCATACATAGATGAAATTATTGGGGATCATCAGTGTGGGTTTCAATGTAACATATAAACTACTGACCAGATTTTTTGTGTTTGTCAGATAAAAGGTAAAGTTTCCCCTGTGCTTAACTAATTAAGCAGTATGTCATGAAGGCGTATGGGGGAGTGGATGTATAGATCCACATTTTCTTGACCTTGGCCCTAGTTGGAAGTGAGTGGTCAGCTTCATGCCCATGCTGCTTTACCTGTGGGGAAAGATCCCTGGTACCCATTGGATAGGAGGTTGGGTAGACCCCAGGGGCAGCCTGGATGACATGGAGAAGGGAAGAATCTTGACCGTACTGGTACTCGAACTCTGACTCGTCAGTTGTCCAGCCCATAGCCAGTCATTATACTGACTATGTTGTCAGTTGACCCAGATGTAAATAGAAACTGGCCCTCTATATGATAAAAGTGTATGTAAAATATGCTTTTCGGTACAGTTTGTGGCTATTTTTAAGAAAAATATATCAGGCAGGCTTCTTATTTCTCTGAATGTTAACAAGGTTAGAATTGTACTTTGAATACTAAACTGGGGTAAGAGTGCTAAATGTTACGCTCTCTGATCTTCACTTTGTAGAGAAAAGGCATAGAATTGAAGATGATGTAACAAATGTACGTGGTATGACAATAAAGTTCGCGAACTCATCTCAGTAGAAGTGCTACATACCTCATTGCTGAATATCACTGTGGTCACCTTCAAAGTACTCCCCTCGGGAAGCTATTCACTGATGTCAGAACCTAATCTACCCTTCGAAAGAATTTTGGAACTGGTTTTGTGGAATGGCCTTCAGGGCTGCAATCATGTTTCTCTTGTTTTCATCAATGTCTTTAAAATGCCTTCCTCTCAATGTTTCCTTTATCTCCAGGAACAGAAAAGAGTCATTGGGGGATAGATCCAGTGAGTAGTGAGGGTGTTCCAGCACTGTTATTTGTTTACTAGCCAAAAACTCCCTCACAGATACTGCTCTAATTCAGGCTCCAACATTCTCATGACAGTGCACCAAAACGCACTCAGACAGTAATAGACACTACTCAGGAAGAGACTGCCATTGATCAACAACAACACAGCTGTGAAATGCTGATATGCAAGCGTCGTCAAACCATACTGAACTTTCTGTCCACTGCTGCCATGAAAAACACAGCGAGTTTGGGAACTTTATTGTCTGACCTCATAAATGTGTACTTGAGATGTAAATTATTTCTACTATTCTAATTGTCATTGTTTGCAGTTTCAGTTTGTATGGAATGTATCTCACTGGAATGCAATGAAGCCGGCACTATATCATGGACATCTGGCTTTTGTTGATTTTGCTCAGTAAGTTGTATTGCAGGCCTACATAATCCTGTTTCTTTCTTTTGTAGAACATTATGCAAGTGAAAATATTGTTGCTTACAGAATTAGAATGCCTGAGTATTTAGAGAATTTTAATTTAAGTCTAAGATCACTAGATCAGTTTTGTTGTTATAGTTTCTTTAGTTAAGATTTTCTTACAAGGTTTGGAGTGAGTCAACGCCCCCTGTACATTAACTTGATTCGAAAACCACTGGACAGGCTTGTCTCTTACTACTACTTCCTTCGCCATGGAGACAACTTTAGACCACATCTGATTAGAAGAAAACATGGTAATAAGATGGTATGTATGATGAGTCATGAACCAGAAGTTGCATAGTTAGTTTAATGTATATAATGAGAACAAAGATTTGTGTCCTCTTCCTTAACATCAAATTTAAAGTGAAGGTTCAGCTGTGCGCACAAGGAAAGGGTTCAGACCTTTGTATGGCTGTGCTTATTTAAATGTTACATGCAGGCTGGAAAGGGGCATAGACATAGGTAGACTCAATCTATGCAGTTCTGGTGCTGTTTTCACTGCTTTATGCTGTCATAATTATTGTTCCCAACAATGATATACATAGGAACAAAATACTGAACCTGCACTATAATAATTTCCTTTATACTAGAAGATTATTTGAGAGCCTGCCACAGATGTTTTGGTTAGTCCAGTCGGATTGAGAACACACTTCTTGCATCATATTTTTCGGCATGTATTTGGATCCACATCACAATCGACAAGCCTGTAGGCCAACAAATCACAAAGAAAACCTGCCTCGATCACATGGAAGTTGTCCATATTTTTATGCATATTTCCAGCACCTCTGCGAAATGTGTGTGGAGGTCTGCTCTTTTGATGTGATCTACCAAGAACCACATCAAAATGGCAGAGCTCCACCTTTTTGGCATCCAAAAAATGAGCGTGAGACAGCAATTGATAACTTAGAATGAGATACTGTAACGAAATGAATTACATTAGCTATGGTCTGTATATATGAATTTTAACATAATACTAGTTTTAGCCTTTTATAAGAAGTTTGTTACTCAGCTGTTTTAAATTTTTTATTTTTGTATATATGACTGTAAAGATTCTGTTTAATATGGTGCACCTCCCCTGAAGATTATTTTGTATGATTAAACGTGTTAGAGTTTTAACAACATATGTCAGGGATTAAACTGGATATATGAGTATTTAAATGGTAATTTGCATTCTGCTCTAAATTCAGATTCATTTTTATTAGTTGCATAAATTAGTTAATTTCTTCTTGTGAGTAATTTGAGTTGAAATTATATATGAATGATTCAGTGTGAATAGTTTCCTGTTTTGGCTGAATGAGAGTCCCATTAAACCACTGAGTTACTGGCTCTTTGTTAATTACCTTACATTAAATGTTCTTAGGATGGCAAGTTGAATGCCTGTGATACGTGTAATACCAATGACTAGCCACACTAACCACCTAACTAACTAACTAACCAACCAACCAACCTCATGGAGATGAACCCCTGAGAAGCTACCAGTTGTGTAGCTACTCAAGAAATCCCCAGCTATTTATGGGACCTGTAGGTTCATTACCGTGTTCACAAGAGCCCTCCACTGGTCTCTGTCCTGAGCCAGACTAGACTGATCCAGTCCATACCTCTCCATCTTATCTCTAAGAACAATTTTAATATTATTCACCCACTTATGTCTTGGTTTTCCTAGTGGTTTCTTTCCTTCTGGCTCTCCCACCAATGTCATATATGCATTCCTCTTCTACCCCATTTGTGCTACATACCATGCCCATTTCAACCTCCTTGACTTGGTCATTCTAGTTGTGCTTGGTGAAGAGAACAAGTTGTGAAGTCCCTCATACATTTTTCTCAAACCTCTTGTCACTTCATCTCTCTTTGGTTCAAATATTCTCCTCAACACACTGTTCTCACCCTCAGTCTGTGTTCCTCCCTTAATGTCAGAGACCAAGTTTCACACTCACAGAACCACAATGTCTGGCCTCATATTTCCTGAATTTATAAATATTTAATTGTTTGCTTAAACTCCCATAATGAAATTAGATTGAAGGTTTTATATTGTTGTGTCGTATTGTGTGTAATACAATGTTTGTTATTATTCAGTCAACACAGTTCTGACATAGACACACCATATGTTTGCATGCACCACATGTTTTGGCCTGTTTTGGCCATCATCAGGTACATAGATCCTTGCTCTAGAGCACCTGCTTACAAGTTCTTTGTATTGAAACTGTTTGTCAGGGTGACTGACTGCTTGGACCTTTCCAGGTTGATTTAATTTCTGTTTCCCAGGCATGTAGAACTCAGATATCCCAGAATAGTGTGCCATGATTGCGCTCGTTGAGACATGTCTGAGTCATATCTGTTAACTCCCTCTATGCTGCAGCCAGTTCCCTCACTTTTTTATGTCATTGCAGAAGAATCTTGGTATGTTGATATGCAATGAGCTGGGAGTAATGGTACACTTCTTGTATTAAAGCTCATGCTGTCTTGTAATTATCTGCAGATGATTGAAAGGAATGTACTCGTAGTTTTATACTTTATCCTTTTGTTGCAACTCACATGTATATTCATTAGACCATTTTCTCCAGAGAATCATATGCTGAATTGCCAGTGGGAAGGCTTATTTTGTTCCATAAACCCAAGTTAGGTTCAGGATTGAAGTTTGTGAATCTCCAACTGGAAAGTGGATGGGTGGTACAACAGTAAGATTCAAGGGATTGATGTTAGTGCCAGTGGATGAGAGNAGCCCCGTTCAGCCAACGAGGTCGATCCTCGGTACCTCGATACTTCTCCCATCTACCAGAGGCATTGGAAACTACTTGGGCTGGAAACTTGCCTAATTTTGCTCAGACGTCTCCTAGAGACATGAGGATCTTTTATGTGCCGTAAATTTACGACACGAGACCCACGGCTTAAAGTCCCTACCAGAGGACTTGTTCCCTGAATTTTTCCGCCCTTAAAAATTCCACGACCTCCGCCGGGTTTGAACCCATGTACCTTGAGTCACAAGGTGGGAACGTTACCCCTAGACTACGGAGGCTGCTTGCACTTTGTGTTACTATCATGCATAGCTGCTCATGCTTTGGTATTGCTGAACCAGCGATCCTCTATGATCATCTAAAATGTAATTTCATGAATTTCACACTGGACTCCGATAAACCAGTGATCTCTGTGGTATGAAGTGCAACATTTTGCCTTGTTCTGTAGCTGTTCCTGTGACTTGAGTCTGATGCTTACTGGTACTTCATAGTTGTTGGGGTTAGCTGCTAGAAAGTTGGTGGCACTGTTGCAGTGAATGTCAGCACGTTTGCACCACCTGAATGTGTAACAATTAAGTCCTGCAAGAAATGGTTGTGTGATTAAGTCATTCACTGATTCTGAGTGAATGGTCTGAGGTAACTCGCATGTAGCCCATTACAGTATTTGGTGTAGGACATGAGTAGTTTTTAAAATTAGATAAAGAAAATATTTAAATCTCAACATTTGTTGTTTACAGTAGGTACTTTAGAGTTTGCTATTCTGTCTTTAACGGGAAAGTTTTCAAAGTAGAAGTGTGTAAGTCTTCTTTCTTGCTTCCTTTTTTTTTAAACTGTTTCAGACTATGTTAAAAGTGTAAAATGCTAAAGCTATCCTTGTAACAGGCCATGGAGGCCCATAGGTTTGTGAGACGTTGACACTCCCAAATATTCTAGACAGTTGGCTCACAGATGGCGATGAGGTTGTCAGTGTTGTGCGCCGGCCGCCCTTTACCCTCAGGAAGATTCTTGGTACTCATTCTTGTTAGAGGTTGAGTTGACCCCAGGGCCAAAATGTGGCTGGAAGGATTGGGCATAGAAAGTATAAAGAGTTTGACACATAAGAGAGGCTGTAATATACTGAGCTATGTTAAAAAGGTTGAGAAAACCTGTTATAATCAGTCATGTATGTTGAGTATTTTATTCTGTTCTAGGTTCCAAATGTGTGACAAATTAAAACTTCACTGTGCTTTCCTCCAATAAATATTATATTGTGAGACTGTAAAGTGTGTGAAAACATTCTTTATTTTGAATTGACCTTTACTTTTACAGCCATATGTGTGTTGTGAATGTGATATAACATTTCTTTGTATACAGTCATTTGATGAATGTGTGAAGTTACGTCAAGCTGACTGTGATCCGGAGAACATGTGGCTCCAGATACCATTCTTCTGTGGTCATGCTGCTGAATGTTGGTATGTATATTACCATCAGATGTATCACTTCTATGGTAACAGAATAATATAAGAGGATTCAACACAGTTTAATATATGCATGAACATAACATTCATTTCCGTACGTCTAAGATTGTAAAATTAATTTGGGGTTAACTGTGTGTAAATTAAGTGTTCGAAATAAATGAAATCATGTTGATGACTTACTTACTCACTCACTCATGGTGCTGAGCCCTTCTGGAGAAGCCGCCAATTCTGCAGCTATTCAAGAATTTCCCAGCATTTTATGGGACCCGAAGGTTCATTACCGTGTTCACAAGAGCCCTCCGCTGATCCCTATCTTGATGACTAGGGGATATTTTTATGCTCATCACTCCCATTTTTAAATTTTATATCTGATAAGAGTTGTTTGTAATCCATTTTCCTTATTCTGGTAAGGAAGGAAAAGCATAAGATACCTTTATAATGCCCATGAGTCTGCCTGGCCAGTCAGTGACTTTAGGACTGAGCGGGTATGAAGGTTATGCCTTTGAAGGTCATTGGTGAAGGAACTGCTGTAGAACATAAAGTTAAGTGCCTCTGTTTTCAGCTGCAGTCTGGAAGAATTATGTTATATATGTTTGTATATTTGAGATTTTTAAAAAGTCTTGAAAGACCTGGTATGTAAATTGAAATGACACTAGACTTACCATATACAAACGTGACCAGGTAGAATGGATTTATATCCTGTTTCATCTTGATACTGCCAACTACCCATGAAAATTTTAATTGTATTTGCTGACTGAAAGCTTAAAATCTTATTTATTATGTACTGTAGAGCTTTATAACTGGTGTACATCTGAATATAAGCATTACTGGACATGTTGAAAGTGTCTTCAGCTTTACATATGGTTTAGTAATCTGTGTTTCAGTTCATATTGAAACTGGGTCAGTTCAGTCCAGAGGAGATCCTCATAAATCATTTATCTGAGTTTAATTTTTATATTATTATTCTGTCTTTTTTCATCTTGCATAATTGAAGCTATTTCTCAATACATGTTTTATCCATCAGGCATGAGGTATAGCTAGAAAGTTCCTGGAATTACTTTATACAGAAGGGCCCATTTTTGAACCAGAAATTGCCTTGTTGATATTGCAGCATAAGCTGCAGTTTAGCACCATCCTAGCAAAAACTTTCTTCATTTTTCAGTTCCTGAACATTTGTGTCATATTCCTTTGACAATATTTTGTATGACATATGTTGGTAAGTTTCATAAAATCTTATGAAATGCATTTTATTGATACATTGTTTACTTTCCGCTTACTATTTTGTGCAGAGGTTTGCAGGGTTGGAAACAGAGACATTCAAAACTAGATAGCATTTACTGATTATGGTTGACTTTATGTCAGCTGGCCATAATGGTCACTGGTACTTATTGCTCACAGAATATGTATAGGTTGCCAGCTGAGTTGCTATTAGCAGAGTTTATTCGCTTTAATGTGTTAGAGGGTCATCTGCATATCAGAATGTTTTTATGTTAGTATTGCAAATTAAATCTTAAAATTTAAAAGTATGATGCATGTATGATAATTATAGAGGAGAAATTTTTTACGCAGTGAAAGTATAATCTCACAGTATCCCTTTTTTCTGTGGGAAAGTGTGAAAATTTGGAGAACTTTAACCCTTTACAGTTACATCCTATGTTAAGAATTTCTGCAGCCCAGTTATATTGTCATGTGTATGAGTGACTCTAGATGGAATTTGGATTGATAATGGGACTTACTGACCAATTACAGATCATATAACTGGAAGTAACTCTAACAGCCTCACTGGTTTATACATTCTGAAGGTCATTGTAACTGCAGTACACATAAAGTCTTTTATGTCTTCACTAGTTGTCTGAACACTGTCCTCCACTTATATCCTTACCATCAGGCATATATCCCGTAACTCAGCTAAGCTCTAAACTTTGTCTTGCTTATAACCCCTTGGCATGGACCAACAGAAAACAGCTCTTCTATTGTTGCATGTGTGTCTGTTGGGGTTCCTACTTGATCATTATCCAGCCAGTCCATTGGTGCACTGGCTGCTGCCTAGCAACAGTTATTGTCTTGTTTGTTTCTTGGTCTTTGCATAGCAACAGGTCTATACACCACAATATATATGCAGGATAAAACAGAATGTGTTAATATATTGACTTTTGACTACTGGAACATATTCAATTTGCTAGTTATACTATATTGACATATGACAGGGAAAGGATGAGGACTGTTGTTTTATATGATTAATAAATTATTCTCTTTGAAGGATTCCGGGGAATGAGTGGGCTCTTGCAGAAGCAAAGAAGAATCTGGTTAATCACTACTTTCTGGTAGGAGTTACTGAAGAGCTTGGTGACTTTATCAAGCTGCTTGAAGTGGCTTTACCTAGTTTCTTTCATGGAGCATCATTACACTATGAGACAAGTTAGTGCAGTTTTTCCCCTACTCTCTACCATGCCGAATTTTCTTCACCATAACTCAAATATGCAAGGGAGCATCATAATACAGGGCTATTGTAAATGATTTGGGTGATCAGATATTGATGAATTTTTTAAATGGGTACGGTTACAAATGTGAAAGAACTTGAAAACAGCACGAAAACTCGTAAAATTTGTCTAGACCTGTCTGATACATGCTCCATTACTCTGCAAACGTCGGTGTGGTATTCAAATTCTTTCCATATATGCCACAAGTACAACTCATTGATATTGGTTGTGGCTTTTGAAATTCACTCTTGAAGCTCTTGAGGGGACTGTGGCATTGGTGGTTGGTGTGTCTAGTCCCTCATATGTTCCCATAGGTAGACGTCCCATGGAGTAAGGTCAGGGGACATAGGAAGTGTCGCTGAACTCTTCACTTATCTCATATCATGAGACCACAAGCAACATTGTGCCTTTTGGACTTGAGGTAGCGATCAGAGTGCCACTAAGGGGAGATATATCACAGTGTTGCCATTGAAAACTAAATGAGTTTTCTTGCTGTTGTCAGTTCATTTCATGTTTGTATCTGTGATTCTTTGAAAATGCACTGCCAGTCAGGTCATTTATAATAGCCCTGTAGTTTGAGACATAGTGCATCCCTTTTTCTTTTTCTTTCTCTCTTTGTATTTCGAGGCAATGTCTAAAAGTCATACCAGTTAGTCAGATTTATCTCATTCAAAGTATTCTACTCATGATCATAATGGTTCCTGCCAATTGTGACATTGAAGCATTTCTTGTATTCTTCTTGCTGGATGTTATTCAGTTCTGGGATCTCACTTGGGATGATAATGCTGAATCCTGTGAAAAAATTGGGAGGGAATCCAGTGAAATGTTCTTAGTCAGGATTTCCATTATGGAGAACATCAAGTGAACCATTATGTAGTAGTGATCAAAGACCTTCATTATAGTTTCAGAATTTTCATTGTACTATAGGTGTTTATAATGTCTGTGTACTTCCTTTCATGTATGCAAGGTTTCTGTATGTCTTGGACTCCTGGGAGTTAGTGGAAAAAAAATATATCACTTCATGTCATGTTCATGACTGCTATGAAATTATGAATATTCAAAGTCAAATAGTACAGGCTATGGGCTGGGCAGCTGGGGTTAAATTTGCAGAAGGGGAAGAGATTTTTTTTCTCTTTTCCACAGTGTCCAGATCAGCTCTGTAGTATAGGTTGTGATTTACGAACTGGTATCTTTAGAGAACAGCAAGTTCTGGTGTAAAGTGTGAAAAATAATCCTTGAACTCCTTTATGTATTAATAATGACATTTGGAGAACAAATAGATGGCAGGTTGCAAAGTTTTGGAAAAAATTTAAAAATTCAGTATTGGACTGATATTCAGGGTGTCCTTTTAAGAGAAGAAGGGATGGTAGTGTTGTGATGGTTAGTGGCTTAATCCATCAAGACAGTTATTTCACCATCCATGATTTGTCTGCAGACCTTCCTAAAACATTTTATTGGTTAGTTTTGCATTAACTTTGCTTCACAGATTTTACTCTAAATATGAATTATCTCTAACTGTTTCATGTTATGTATGTCAGGTAATAGGTCACACTTGCGTCGTACATCACAGAAAGTTGATCCTTTGCCAGAAACTGTAGCCCAGATCCAGAAGTCTCATGTTTGGAAAATGGAAAATGAACTATATGTATACGCTTTGGAGCAATTTCATTATGCCAAGAAGAGAACTCTAACAACCAAGGATGGAGGCATGGCGGACAAAAATCAGCAGTTTATGTATGAGAAAATAAGACCAAAGTGAAGGTACTATAAATTAAACATTTTTTACTAATATGTGAACTTTAAACAGTAAAATAACGTAGTGTAGGAGAAAGTGCCAATAATATATGAAATGTAATTCCAAATATAGATCCAAATTGTGTGAAAATTAACACACATTAAAATTCAAAGTGCCCCTTAAACATGCTGCTTGGTTGGTAAAGAGTGATCATTGTTCTAACAGCTTATTGGTTAGAGCATATCTGATTATTGGGAATATGGAATTAGTCCTAATTGCTAATAAAATAAGAAACTCATTCATAAGTGTGTATATTTGTTGAGTTCAAGTACAGATGTATCAGTACCATTCATTTGTAATTTAAACTTGATTATCCATCTTAAGCATCAATTTGCAGGTTCTGTGTAGCATCTGCAAGCACAGATTGATCATGTTTCCTGAAGGTTTTGTAGTTGACTAACTCGGGTATGTCCCAGCCAAGGTTGAGTTGTGTCTTGGGTTTGATATCCTGTCTTCTGCTACTAGATTATGTGGCAGTGACAGCAAGTAAGGAATACATGCTGAGATATGAATTGAGTAATGTGTGCATGATGCATAATGAAGAGTATGAGGAAAGCAGTCATTATAACTGCCTTTACTACTTGACTGAAAATTACTTTCTGGATGAAATATTTAATGATTGCCCTTCAGTCAGTGTAAGTAAGTATCTTGCTCCCTTCCTTGTGAGTCCGGTTTATATGTTTCATCTCACTGGAATTTTGCACTTTCCATAGTGGAAATTGTGTCATCATATCTGTATGAATATTATGTGGGTAGGCTGAAAAGTAATGCACACATGCTTGTAGAGCGCGAACAGAAACAAATAGTAAGATCGGGCATAAAGTACATTAAAATACAGTTCTTAAGTTTCAAAAGCATATATTTATTTTTCAACATAGTCACCGTTAAGGCTAACACATTTCTCCCAATGCGTAACAAGTTTTTCATTCCGTCACTGAAAAATTCTTCCAACTTTTCTCGAATCCAGGACTTGACAGCTGCCTTCACCTCATCGCGTGAGGTGTAATGATTACTCTTGAGGTCTCTCTTGAGTAGAGGAAAAAAAATAAAAATCGCAAAGCGCAAGATCAGGGGAATAAGGAGGGTGTGGAATCGGTTCTAACTTCAGGTTTCGCAGAGCCTCTTCAGTCGCGCGCGAGGTGTGTGGACGAGCGTTGTCATGTTGCAAGATTATTGGCGCCAGGCTGCCTCTAACACGACAAACTCGACGCCGGAGGTGTTTTAGAGTCTGTATGTACTGAGAAGAATTTACCGTTGCCCCTCATTCCACAAAATCGGTCACATAAACTCGGTAAGCATCCCAAAACACAGTCAAAAGAAGTTTTTTGGCGGATGGTTGTGTTTTGAACTTTTTCGCCTGAGGAGAAGATGGCTGTCGATATTCAGCGCCGTGTTTTCTCTTCCGGGTCATAACAATGGACCCATAACTCGTCCCCCATCACAATATTCAAAAGAAAGTCGTCTCCTTCGTCACAGAAGTGCTGCAAAAGTTGCTCACAGCATTCCAATCGATGCTGTTTGTTCTCTTCTGTGAGATGGCGTGGTACCCATCGTGCACAGATTTTATGGTATCCCAATTGTTCAATAATGAAGCCGACACGTTCCTTGGATATTCCAATATGGTTTGCGATACGCTTTTGAGTGATTCACTGGTCATTTTGAATCAAATCGTCGACGAGTTTGTGATGATTGTCGTCTGTGGCAGTGATCGGACGTCCGCTGCATGTTTCATCAACAATTATGGCTTTTCCAGGCTCGCAACCGCGAAATTTTATTACCCATCGATTTACAGTAGACCTATCAACAGCCTCGTCACCATAAACAGCCTTTAAACGATGATGAATCTCAGTAGGAGTCACTTTTTCAGCAGTTAAAAATTCGATAACAGCATGCTGTTTAACTCGCGTTGACATAGCACTAGAACACGTCTCCATACTTCCGCTTCTCGAAATACACTGGATGAACGCAACGACCTCAAACTTGCGCATGCGTATTGAGGGGGAATGTTACTTCCACATGCCACCTGGCGCGTTTCTGAAGGTCATTTCGTTCGCGCTCTACGAGCATTACTTTTCAGCCTACCTACATACATTTTGTGCATGTATATGTCAGTATGCATATTTGTCCACTTCTAATAACTGGAAGAAACTAATTCGCTTGAAACATGATGCAGATGTGCTATTGGGGATATTAGCCTTTGTACTTTTTAATTTCCTGTTGCCAGTACTATTGAAATGGCAGGTGCATGCACATCTGAATCATGATGTTGCTAATATTGTAGCCCGTGTGGTGATAGGTCTTTGAAAAATAAGAAACTTCTGTTAAGGTAATAGCTTCTGTAAAATGCAAACTAACATGGTAATTGTACAAAATACATATTTACCAAAATTTGTAAATATATCTGGTAAAATTGAAATTGAAGAAAGTCAAGAAAGGCATAAGAAATTTTCTGTTGATAAGCAGTAGCAATATACAGTAGATCTTTAGATAACTCTGACTGATTACAGGGGATGGGATGTGTAGTGAGACTTACTAATTCTTTGATAAACTCAATAATAGCCATTCTCCACAAAAATGTTTAATTTGATGAAAGTTTAAAATATAATTAGTGATAGTGGTACAGTTCCTTGTAGTTACGGTCTGTGAGCATTCATTAAATTCAGTTACCAATCCAAACCCTGTCTGTAGTCGCAGTCATAAATGTGACAACTGGTGTCACAAATAGTTGTACTGGAAACTTCATTGGATCCTTACACTGCCACACTATGGAAGTTGAACAAATATGACACTCCTGATGACTGAAATAAGAACCAACACAGAGGAAATGAGAACCACCTGAGAGGAACCAGCCAAGAACACCTGAAAGCAGAAATGGGAGCCAGCCAAGAGTTTCTGAAAGAAGAAATGATGACCAAGTTAGATGCCCATCATGAAAGGATGATGGGTAGGATGGACTCCCAGCTAGAGAAAATGGAAGCCGTGGTGGGGAACCAATCAGGAAGAAGTAAATGCCATGGATTTGGAGTGAAACCCAGAAGAAAAAGAGGCTGTGGAGGAGCATCAAGAAATGCCTAAAGAAGGGGTTGTGGTGGAAACTGTTGGAGCACTGGAGGGCTGATATGGGGACCAGCATCTAGCTGTAAGGCACCCCCAATATCCGAAGAAATGTACCCAGGACAATGGTGGGTCCCAGAAGAAGTTGGCTGCTGTTTGAGGGTTGGCACTAACTTCACCGACAAGCGGGAGTTGCTCGGTTGGTATAGTTTGCTTGTGGACTAAAACTGCAGAGTTTTTATTAATTTTAGTTTTAAGATATATTCTGAAGAGTGAAGAGTGTTTTCCTAGTAGCTATGATGTCAAGAACAGTAAGTACTGTACTGAAGTTCTGTATATATATTTTTGCAGATCAGAAATGCATTTTTATTTTCATATTTTTTGTATTTTTACATTAAAACATTGTACCACAGTACTTCAGTGACATCTTGGTAAAAACAATGTAAGACACATTGTACAATATTTTTCATTCCTGTATAGTCATGAAGTGTGACATTCATTTGTAAAGTTAATTTTTGATAAAGTTGCTCAGTAAATTTGTGCTAGATAATTTGCAGTATTCTTCTATAAATTTGATTTCCCCACAAGAACACAGTTCCTAGCAATGGTCAGAGGTATAATAATTTATTACATTTATTTTTAAGAAAGGTTACATACAAATTTATAACAGTGTTTTGTTATTAATCTATAATTCAATTCTGTCTGTGCTACATGAACCGGTTGAAACATTTTTATGATACAGAATTTAGCTGGCAAAGTGGATGGATCCAGATATGTAACTTCAGTGCACAGTTCTTACTTATTAGATTGGAGACTCTTGCCCAATTCTTGACATTGTTGTGGGCAGAGAGACCCAGATGTACCAGTTTGATCCTCAAACAAAATACTAAAATACTATGCAGCCATTAGAGGATTGATGATGGTGCCTTCCCCCAGTTTTGCCCTTTCCCATCTTGAAAGTGACAAGTCTAAGATATTAGAAAGATGACAGTGGCTTCTTTCTTCTGAAGAAACATTTCTATTGTTACTGTTGTACAGGGCTGCTATAAATGATTCATTCGTTTTCAAAACGCTATATTTTCCAAAGCATTACACGTACAAATATGATTGATATATAAAAAGAATCATAAACTCACCAAGTTTTCTTCACACTCTACAAATGTTCTATGTGTGTCCCTTGGGTCACACGACACACATACAGGCAGTAGTCGAGCTCGTTCCACACATTTTGTAGCATCATCCTGTCAATGGTCATCACTGCAGCATCGATGCGTTTCCTCAGCTCTACTAGTGTTCTTGGCAGTGGGGGTATGTAAACACGATCCTTAATGTACCCCAAAGGAAGAAATCACAAGGTGTTGGATCAGGTGATCTGGGGGGCCAAGTGAACAGAGTTACGTCATCCTCACCAACGCGCCCAATTGAGCGATGCCGAAGTTCATTGTTTAGGTAGTGACGAACATTGCTGATACCACCGAAAAATGCTTTGTTTACATGGCGGTTCTTTTCCGTACTCTTTTGAATGCGCGTTGCACTGCTATAACAGACGAACATCTCGCATATTCCAACAAACAAAAACTCTTTTTCTTGCTTTGTCGCCATTTTGTAAAGGCACTGAATTCATGCTGCGAACTGGTGCAAACAATACAAACTTGGTGAGTTTACGGTTCTTTTTATATATCAATCATATTTGTATGTATAATACTTTGGAAAATATAGCGTTTTAAAAACGAATCATTTATAGTAGCCCTGTATTTAAAACCCAATCTACAGTGGAATCCCCATTTAATATTCCTCAGAGGTTTTCCACTCATTTTACATCAAATTCCAGTGATCCGAAGCCAATACGTTCAGTGCTGAATTTGCTCGATTTAATATTTTTCTTAGCTTAGTGTTCAAATCTGCTGCTCCCCTTTTAAAAGGTACTTGAATAAGGGGTTCACCTTACTGTTATTGTCTTTTGAGATGTGATTCCATGTAGTTTAGTAGTTGGGTACCAGTGTTGAGGAGGAACCTGCAGCCTCCATTATCAAGGTGGAACATACTGTTATTGCACAGTGGTAGCCAACAGTTTGCCTGACCCAGGTAACTGGAAAACTTCAAGGGAGGTGTCCCAGAACATTGCTGTTGTTCCATGACAAAGATTCCTCACACAAAACAAATATCACAATAATTTTCTTGCAGGACACTCCAGCGCATCTACTCATCTGTTTCACCTGCAATCCATATTTGGGATCATGGCAACTTTTGAGCTCTTTGTTTCCAATGCTGAGGGAAGATCATCATTTCTCAAATCCCAAAGATGTAATATATGCAGGAATGTTCAACAATAGCATTGTTTCTAGAGCTTGTCCAAGAGAATATTCAGTGCATAATATAAAAGGATGAATACATTTAAAAAATGTAATTGCTAAAATAAACTTGGCATTGTTAGATTAAGCATTTCTTAAAATGTTTCTAGTACCCTGCGTATCACTAATGAGTTTAAGCTGGATGCACATCAGTGTTAAGAGCAGTGCTTAGGCTGCTGGGATATCAAATGCAGTCAAGCTGAGTCTGACTTACTGCTGTGCTGCAAAGGCTTGCGCATATGTCTTGCATAGAATTGTTATATACGTCTGTTACACCACAAGGGTTGAGATGGGTGAAGTTGAGGGTTTGCGTATAGCATCTTCGTGAGTCATGCTTGAATCAATTTGACTGGACTTTATGGGCTACTTTGGCAGAAGCCAGGGTGAATAATTAGAGCAATAATCTTGCAGTGCAAACTTAACAAGTTAAAGAATGTCATTGCGGTTAGTTTTGTATGATCATTTGTGCAAAGTATGACATCAAATAATATAGAATTGGCCACATGTTACATGTACTATGTCACAGTTGACACATTCATGGATATGAGAAAGTTTGTGCAAATACTTTACCTGACAAAAACTGGAATGACAAATTTTTGTGTTACTTTTAGCAAAGAATGACTGATCAAATTTCTGTAATTGTTAGGTAATCCATAACTGATTAACTTCTTTCCATTATATGTCTTATGTAAAAGGGTTGTTAACAACAGTTCCAGAGTAATTGTTGTCCAGTTATGGTCATACACTGAATACGTGCTAAATCTTATAAGAAGAGTGGCCAAATCTTGCACATCACTAAAAATATGTTAGTGTTATGAGAGGTTCAAGTGTATGGTAATATAGTTGGTTGGAACACTATGCTACAAACTGGAAGATCGTGGGTTCGATTCCTGATGAGGTCATTGGATTTTTTCTGTTGACTTAATCCTTCCAGCTGCACTGTGGCCCTGGTGTCAACTCAGCCTCTAACAGAAATGAGTATCATGATTCTTCTTGGGTGTAAAGGGTGGTTGGCTCATAAGGCTGGCAGCCTTACTGCTATTTGTGAGCAAGTGTTGTGATCATGAAAAAATTAGTCTCAAGATTTTGGTGGATTTACTTGTTTTGAGCCCTTATGATTACAAAGGAGTGGTTTTGGTATGCATGTGTGTGTATATATAGTATATGGATGTGCGCCTCACTGGCATCTGAATGGTTTGATGAATTTATCTGTATTCAGTATTCATTATTTTATCTGGTGCCCAATGAATATGAACATTCCATATCAAAAAACAGGTCCTCTTTGCATGGGCCTTAGAGCACAAAATGATTTTCTCAAAATGGCCCCAATCCCTCTTCATTATATTTCAGTAGTTTACAAAGGCTATCTCCCTAAATAAAACAGCATCTGTGGTATATCCATGAAAATAATGGTACATGTGCTAGTGGCCCAAGCTTGAAATGTTGATTTTATCAAAACTGGCTTTAATGGTCATTATTGTTTGGCATTCAGCAGCTAACAGTGGTCTACTAAGCAACAATCAGTTTCCTTCCAAGGTAACGTAAAGGTCAGTCATATATGAGAATATATGTGGAAAGTCTTTGTACCATTTTTGTTGTTGTTGGTCTTGAATGAAATGATAAGACATGGAACATTTCATGCTGCATTCATCTGACAGAGCCAGAATTGTGAATTTTAGCATTTACTGATATGTTGGGTTTTTGGACTTTATCCATCGTCCTGGTTTTTAAGATAACAAATAAAAACACGACGTTTCGGAAACTGGGTCTGTTTCCGTCCTCAGGTGAAGGAAAACACCTATTCAGTTGGGTCCCTTAGAAAGAGCTAGCCTCAAGCACCCAACTGAATAGGTGTTTTCCTTCACCTGAGGACGGAAACAGATCCAGTTTCCGAAACGTCGTGTTTTTATTTGTTATCTTAAAAACCAGGACGATGGATAAAGTCCAAAAACCCAACATATCAGTGTGTTATACACCATCGTCAGAATCCTATAGTAACTACTTTAGCATTTACGTTTGTTGTTATTCAGGAAGACAACTTGGAGACAGCAGTAACACAACAGTGTGCCATGAATTTCAACAAAACTGGAAAAGTTTTCAGTGTTCAGAGATTATAATATTGCCCTGAGGGAAGACTGGATGGTGCTCTCATTTCTGGGATGGTTGAAATTTGGTCCTAATGATATGCCGTGCATGTCTGTCACAAATATAGATGCTGGAATATGAAATTATGTGATATTGAGTGCAGGTAGCAGGAATAATCTTATTTCAGCACCAGTGTAAAGTACCAGAAAGGTTTAGAAAACAAATATTTTAAATACTTTTCATGTAAAATGGAAATCCCTTAATTTTCTTTCACACTGCATATACTGTGCAGATGTGAAACTAATTTGTAATCTGGGGTCTTTTGGGGTGAAAGATTGAATGTGGAACTTGTGTATGCTTTGTGCCAAAACCAGAATTACCAACATTGTAATTTATAAGATTCCTATTAGAATAATCAGAACAGTGGAAAAAAGGGAAATAAATATGACTAAACCACTTATAAGGCCATGCCATAGTTCAAGCGGTTAGTCGCTGGCTTCCTACCATGGTGGCCAGGGTTTGATCCCGGGTCTGGTCAAGTGGGATTTGTGGTGGACAAAGTGGCGCTGGGGCAGGTTTCCTCCAAGTACATCGGTTTCCCCTGCCAATGTTCATTTCACCAATTGCTCCACAATCACCCTCACCTATCATCTGGGGCTGGTACAATAGGCCAGAAGTGGCTGCAGTACAAGGCACTTAGTCCCACCCCACTAGCAATAAAAGAAACCACTTATAAATCATACATTCCCATAAACTGTAAGTTCTTAAATATTGGAATAATTAAACAATTTTAAAATGATATAAGATTATGATTATGGTGGTGATAATGATGGTAAAAATAAGATATGGTGATTATGAATGCAGGTGGAACTTTCCAAAGCATGGTACACAGCCTTCATTATCATTCTGTGATTCTTTCATAGCATAATGATCATCTAAGATAGACCAGCCACTTCCAACTTTTGACAAAGATTTCCAGATTTAAATGTATTCTGCTTATGCCTTTTGCATTCAGGGGTTGCAAAAATCTGTCATTCTGGTTATACATATAACTCTTTCAAAGAGTTTGGGAACCCTGATCTAACTGCTGTTGCTGTGCAAGTCCACCTGTTGTGAGCAGGAATACAAACCCTAGTGAACAGTTGAAGCTCATGAAACACTAATTATCATATTCAGCTTTTGTTTCAGTATTATGTTGGATATTGTCCATTGTCTGAATTATATTTTATATACATAGCATTTTGAGGGTTTTGTTTTATGCTTATCCTCAGGTGATTGGTTGTCATACAGACAATAGAAACTGTCCAACATAATACTGGTGTGGTGACTCAGCCATTGCCAACAGACCTTTAGAGAATCATTATTTACACTTGTTCTTTCCACAGAGCATCTTGAAAACCACTGAGTCAGCTGTCTTTACACATTATTAGAATGTGTGTTGGGTTACTGAATGCAGAATATGAATACACACATTTATTTTCTGTTAATGTAGTATGGTTATTTATTGATAAGGAATGATAAAATATTGATACATCTCAAAGTTTCTTCTTAAAAATGAAGTGTATTATAATAATTTGTAATTTTGTTTTGGAATTAGTACTAAAATTAGGTAGTTATATATTTATTATTTTTAACTATGTGTATATATTTGTTTACACAAATGTCAAATATTTTCAGTAGCATGTTGTGTTCTGACAGGTACAAAGGTAGACTGAGATTTTGAGTCTTTGTTGTGATGCCACAGGTTTAGAACCACATATTTGGTGTATTTTAGTTTGCCTTTGTTATCTGACTTATTAACTATGGTATGTGTGACTTCTACTAAACATTTCTAATGCTGTGATGCAGATACTTATGAAGAACATTGTACTTACATGAGAACAGAAAGTACATGTTGATTGTTCAGAGATTCAAGTTAATGGGACATACTTGTTGTTCCTCATACTGAAGGACACCAGGATTATGCTAAAATTAGCACCTAATTTTATATGTTCAAATGAATTAGTTATTTTTCAAATTTAGGGGCTTACAGTGTACTATGCTTGGTAGCAGACTTATTAAAACTTATGCTACAGAACTAAAAGGGTAATGTTTTTAGTCTTCTGTGATGTGCGTGCATGCATGCATGCGCATGAATCCGTCGTGTTCATGTGCATTTATGCATATGTAAATTTGTGCAGGAAAGCTGGTCTTGCATTGAAACCTGAATTGAATGGGAACTTCATTAGAACTCCGATCCTGTGACTATACAGAGAAGGACACTGTAAAGCTAACTCTAATAAATGTACACTAATGTGGAAGAACAAAAATTTGCTTTAAAATATTCTCTTTGAATATTTATTATTATGTCTCTGTAATTTTGTTCCAAATTGACCTTTATGAAATCATCCTTGAAGATATATTCATGTCACAAATGTAAAAGAATTAAGCTCAACTGTTGACAAAATATGTGTAGACTATTATACTCTTACTGAATCATCAGTGAAATGGAAAGATAAAGGAAACTGATAATGTATTGCTCACTACCAAAGCAGTGTTCGTGCGTAACACAAATTTCTTAATTATGGTTTGGATATGTGGAATATGCACTGTTAAATACAGGGTATCTACAAAAGGTCTGACACATTTTGATCTTAATAATTTGGAAAATAACAAAGATAGAAATAAACTGGTTACATTGTTGGATTGAGAAACTCAAAACATTTTGTGTTTATTGTTAATAAAGTTGTACATGTGCTCCATTTGTTGCACGTAAAATATCAAGACAATATTCGATTTCCTGCCAGGTTCGGGCAAGCATACTGACATCCACAGTGGTTATTGCGTCTTTTACTCTGGTTTTTAATTGATCGATGTCTCTCGCCTGAAACTTATAAATAGTGTCTTTGACATATCCCCAGAGAAAAAAGTCCAGTGGAGTTATGTCAGGTGATCTTGGGGGCCAAGAAATTGGACCACTTCGTCCAATCCATCTTCCTGGAAAATGTTTGTCCAAAGCATCACAAACTATGGTGCTCCAATGAGGTGGCGCACCGTCTTGTTGGAAAATGATTTCGGGCTGAAGCGCTTACAAAATTCTTCAATATGTCTAGGTAAATGACTGATGTGACTGTCTTTTCCGCGAAAAAGAAAGGCCCAATGACTCGATCATGCATAAGAGCACACCACACATTCACTTTTGGGGAGTCTCTTGCCATTTCAAGGTATTCATGAGGGTTCTCTGATCCCCAAATGCATATGTTATGGCGATTGACTGTTCCAGAAGTGTGGAAGCAAGCTTCATCAGAGAACAATATAGTTGTAAGAAATCTTTCAACATCTTCTATTCTTCATAACATATCTGTTGCAAAATCCATTCTCTTAGGCTTATCATGTGGTTTAATAGCTTGTACAAGTTGCATCTTATAAGCATGCAGCCGTAATTTCTTCCGTAGAACCTAGTGTACTGTTGAAAGTGGCATATTCAATTCTCTTGCTGCTGTTCTCAAAGATTTCCTGGGACTGCGTGCAAATGCTTTTTGGACACGCTCAGCATCATCATTGCTTGTGCTGGGACGTCCGGAACTCTTCTTACTGAGGACACTTCCTGTTTCTAAAAATTTCTTTTTCCAGTCTATGATACTGTTTCTAGAAGGAAGATCTTTCTGGTAATGTGTTCTGAAGTTCCTCTGCGTTTGTGTCACCAATTTTGTTTCACAAAACCACGCCCCTGTTTGTGTGCTCTCTTGCAGAGTCAACATTTTCTCAACAATGAACACTGCACTGACAGCTGTGAACATGTTCCTGACCTGTAAAGAGGAAAATAAACTTTTTGAGTTGATTTTTCCATCATTGCTAAAGCTTTATTTCTATCTTAGTTATTTTCTGAATTATCAAAGATCAAAATGTGTCAGACCTTTTGTATATTTGTCACAGTCACGATTGTCACTGGAAACAATGGAATCACATGTTAGAGTGATTCTCAACAGGGTTTTGGATGGGAGATTGGATTTATTGACCACTTACAGGTCACAACTGTAAGTAACTATAACACTATCACTAATTTCCACACTTTAGAATCACTACACCACATGCAAAGTCTTTTCAGTCTGCTGTATATTCACTGGCTGTTCCCTGGTAACGGCTTCTAACACCGACCATGTCGTCTCTTCACAGACTTACCACTCACAACTTACTAACTTGAAGTTGAAGTCAAAGTTATGTTGTGAGTGATGGTCAGTCGGCCAGTCTATCTTGGTGTTCAGCACCCGTTTGGGACTTAAGACCAGATTTTTTCTCTCGACAGTCGCGGGTTTGTTGATGTATGGTTCCCTCTCTGACGAGGATGGGTCTGTCTTTTACAATGTACAGTGTGCAATATATTTACATTTTACATGTTATGACTTGAATATATATGCAGTATATACGAAGGGGGACCCAAAAATAACTGGAACCAACCTGTTGTGCACGCATGCTTTGTAGTTACGAGTTGTGCTGCTAGGTGGTGTTAGCTGGGGGTCTCCCGCGACTGTTAGTGAGCTGGCGTCAGTCTGAGTTAAGTGGTTTGTCTGTGGTGCTCTGTTGTGTGCGTTCCTGTTTCAACCCTTTGGCGATTAGTGAGATGGCCAACCAGAAGGAACAAAGAGTGTGCGTGAAATT